CGAACTCCTACCTGTTTGCCAAGTGGGGGGATGACCTGCCGCAAAAGGAACAGAAGAAAGCTGAAGCTCTGTTTCAGATTTATGGATACAATGTCTTCCTTAGTAACCAGTTGCCACTAGACAGGGAGCTTCCAGATACAAGAGACAACAGGTAACTTTTGTTCATGTGGGTTGGAAATGTTTTTGAAATGCGGAAATCTAATGTCTTCTAGATCTTACAGGTGCTACTATGAAGTAATCATTGGTCTTTTAAATGCAGCTAGTCTGTTAAATTACATAATAAATTGTGACAATTAGAATTTAGTTGCATTTGTAAATTTGCATTTGTTTATTTGTAAATAACTGCACCAAATTGATATCTGATCACAAATAAATACATACATCATGGCAACACAACTGTTATATAATGGCACGCTTCATCAAGAAAAAGACACAGAACCACCAACCTACTGCTAAAGATCTAACCTCTGAACTTATTTACACCTGTCACTGCATCTCACACATTTAGATGTCTGACGAAGAATTATCCAAAGGACCTGCCAACCGTCAGCGTGGTGCTGATCTACATAAACGAGGCTCTTTCTGTCATTAAAAGGGCAATACGAAGCATCATCACCCACACGCCAAAGCACCTGCTGAGGGAAATCATTCTGGTGGATGACTATAGCACGTACAGTAAGTTTAACTTGCTATAAACCATGATGATTTTCCATTTCAAATGTCTGTATTCCAGCCCCTGCAGGATTTTGTAGGCTTTTTTGGGGGATCTTAAGATGTGTCAGGTGTCTTCACAACTAGAGACAAGGTAGTGAGTTTGTTGATATGTGCTCAACATTTTGCACAGGAAACTACAGAGATTGGTCCAATTTGCAAAAGTTGTGGTGACTGGACAAAAAGGTTGTGCAGAATTCACATGGATTGGTTGAATTTGCATTAATTGTTGTGATCTCAACAACTTAACTTCATCCTCCTAATTGAGTTTATCTAGCTGTTGTAGTCATCTGTACTCCTTTATTTATAGATTTGACTGTGGACTAAATTTTCAGATGACCTTGGAAAACCGTTAGACGACTACATAGTTCAGATTCACAAAGAGAGGCCTGGACTCATAAAGAAAGTGCGGCATAAGAAACAAATGGGCTTGTCCCAGTCCCGGAACTCGGGTTGGGAGCGTGCCACAGCTGATGTTGTAGTCATTTTGGATGCCCATATTGAAGCCACAGAGGGATGGTATGTACATGTTTCAAATTATGGGGTGTATTGCAGGGAAACAACGGGTAAATGTACTACTGTGAAATTCCTTCGCTTCTTCAAGTTCATGTTATAATCTTATAAAAATACTGTTGGAAATGTGTTCATCTCACGTGCTCCTTTTCGGGTGACTGTACTGTTTCACTTTGTCCTTTCCAGGACAGAACCTTTGCTGGCGAGGATCAAGGCCGACAGGACGGTGGTGGTGTCTCCTGTGTTCGATAAGGTCCATTTTGATGACTTACACGTGGAAAGATATAATCCATCTTCTCATGGGTTCGACTGGGCTTTGTGGTGCATGTATGAGTCCTTCAGCCCAGAGTGGTTTAAGATGGTGGATGAATCACAGCCTGGGAGGTATGTGGAACAGTAAATATAGAGTTTTTGGAGTTCTCCTCTGCGATTGGTTGGTTGCTTTGATTTTGAGCTTAAGATTTAAGTTGAGACACTTACACAAACAAGCATCCAGCTATTTTAGACCCCATGAAGCCCTTGTATGTGCACAGTTACACATTTGCAGTAGGGCTATAGTGGAAAATCTAAAGTTCTACCTCCCAGTTTTGTGTCTAATGTTCTTCAATAGGTTTTTCTTAGTTGCACCACAGTCAACGAAGACCTTGCTTGCAATCTTATCTAAAAGGCAAGTTCACTTAGGCAGTATAAATGTTGGCACATTACTAGCGGCGTTAACACTGTGTTTGTTTGGGACAGGAGTCCCTCTGTCATGGGAATCTTCGCAGCAAACAGAGACTTCCTTGGAGAAATCGGAGGGCTTGATGGTGGAATGACAGTTTACGGGGGAGAAAATGTTGAACTCGGGATTCGTGTGAGTAGCCAAATCTGTTACGTAATAAGAATTTAACATGTTGCAGCATTAAAATCCTTACAGGTGGAAGATTTACGTGATGGCCTCCTGTGTTTTTGACTGCTCAGGTGTGGCTGTGTGGAGGAAGTGTAGAGGTTGTGCCTTGCTCCAGGATAGCTCACATTGAGAGGGCACATAAACCGTACGCGCTTGATCTGAACCCTACCATGAGGAGAAACGCCTTGAGGGTTGCAGATATCTGGTTGGATGATTACAAGAAGAATGTCTTAATTGCCTGGAACCTTCCTCTTGAGGTGGGCACAAAGATTTATGTTCCTACAAATTATTTCATACCGCAGCTAACTCAACCAGTAACACAGTACATTAATAAAATGCTGATGAAAAGCTATGCTGTTGAGAGACATTGTTCAGCTTGTTGAGTCACACCTCAACAACATCATAAGCCCAGGATTGTCAGACTCTAGAGCACATTCCATACCTGCCAGCTTGCCCTTCTTTTGCTATGTTTAACTGTACTCAACAGTTGTTTTCTCCAAAGATCCCCATAAATGGCACAAACCTCAGAGGATTTTTCAAAAATCCAACATCATCAAATCAACCATACTTTCCTTATATCCATTACAATTTAGTAACAAGTTGTCACAGTGGGGAAAAGAGTATTAATAAAGAAACACCTGAAACTACACCATGCTCCACTTCTCCATCCATCCATATGCTCATTGGGTTTAAAACCCTTTTGTTTTTCTGTTTTTCTTTGACCAAAATATGGCTAAATACACAAATGGAGGCACCTTCACTGTTTAACATGTCACAGTAGGAACAGCACAGGTCTAAATAATATAATTAATAGTGGCTGAATTCCATTTAGCTGCTTCAGTTTCAGGGTCACTCTCGTGGTTTACTGGGACACCTGAATAAATCAGAGCCATAATGTTATTAGGAAGACCTGTGCCTTTCCAGAGGCAAATGTCTGCTGTGAAAAAGGGATGTTAAAAGTGGTAAAAAAGATACACTGCAACATCTTTTAGTCAACACTGTATCTCTTTACTTTATACCTGGGATAATTATATTAAAAGCTGTCGTTAAAGTCAGAGTTTCCACATTTATTCACTCAGCCTTATTAAGTATGAGGTTTATTATTTAGCTCAATATAGATTTTACTAAAACCTTTGCGTTGTTCAAGCACCTTCTGATCTGGCACACAGAATCATGGAATCGATATTGGCGACGTGTCGGAGAGGAAGAAGCTCAGAGAAAAGCTGAAATGTAAACCCTTCAAGTGGTACATGGCCAATGTTTATCCAAGTCTTGACACCTTGGATAACCTCCTGGGGTACGGTGTGGTAAGGGTCTTTTTTCACTCTTTCATTTGATAATGTAACGTGTATTAGTGAGCCTGACATATTTACACAGTGAATTCAAGATCAGAAATCTGTTAAATGACTGTATTCAATGAGTCTTTATACTAAATGTGGCAATAAAACGTGGCAAAGCGCTGTCTACATGTTGAATTTGTGATAGAACACAAAGCAAATAGACAACTCTCTGACCTCTACAGCTGCAGAACAGCATTCTTAAGAGCTATTGTGTGGACCAGGGAGCCGTTCCAGGAAGCATCCCCATCCTGTATGAATGCCACTTCCAGCCGCCACAGGTAATCTGATAAGGCAGACAGACAATACAGAAACATTATCGTTAAATCATCCTTTTAAAATGAAAACGTATCTGTTCCGACAGTATTGCTACTACAACGCAGACGGTGAAATCTTCATCGGGGCGATTAAATCTCACAGATATAACAGTAACCGCTGCCTGGTTGACCCGGGCTCTGGTACCACTCCCACTCTGCAGGAGTGTCGGCTCGCAAAACAAAACAAGCTACACATGCACTGGGACTTCAAACAAGTAAAACCTTAGCTGGCAACAACTAGTGGTAATATTATAAGACCTCACTATTACGTTGGAAGTACTCATGCTGCATCTCATCTTGACTTTTGCAGGGCCAAGCGATCAGAAACAAAGCAACCAACAGATGTCTTGAAGTCGCCCAGGGAGAAAACTCTTACTATGAGCTCATCATTCAGCAGTGCAGTGGACAGAGCTGGACGATAGAGCATCTCATCACAAGTTTTTAAGTTTAGTGCTTAAACTGAATTCAGAATGTATTTTACGAGAGGATAATGACAAACGGGATCCTATTTACTTTTTGTACTGAATCATGCTAAATAAAATTAATAAAATTAATAAAATTGTTTTTGCAGTCATTCAATGAAATGCATGTGCGCTGGCTCTCTTAACCCTCAACACAAACAATAAATAAATTCAAAACAACATGTGTGCATCTGCATTTGTCATGCCATGTCATGTCTTGGTGCAAGCAACCACACCTAATATAAGCAGTACACAACAATGTGCCACTATCCAGACTTTCTGGTAGCGGCAAGCCTTAATGCAACACTTATTCATTTGTAACTCCACTGTCACACACATTTTATTTGACATAGCAAGAATAACAGGTGTATTTTAACTGCACTGCTTATGTGTTTTTAGGTGTGGCAGTGAGCTTGCATGCACTACTGCAAATCCCTAGCACTGTTACCTTACCTACAGGAGAGGGATTGTCACCGGTGTCATTAATTATACTGTGTTTGATGCATAGACTGTCACGCACAGGTTTCTGAAGAGCCACTGTGAAGCTCAAAGTGTTGTGGCTCTGGCCGTTAATATCTTGCATCCGCAGGCTCCTGGCTAATCAAAAACATTTGCAAAGCGGTGGCACTGAGGCGAGCAGAATGAAGCCTGGTTACTGAAAACAACCCCCTGTGATGGCACCCACCTGTCACTCAAAGATGCCAAATACCCTTAACTATGCGTAACTTTAAGCCTTAATATGATTCAAATGGGGGAGTTATATAAAAATTAATAAAGGCTGTAAATATTTTTATTTCTGCTTGGCATTTTAATATGGGGCCTTATGGAAATTGATCACTTTACATAAAGGAAGGAATTTACATATCATTTGAAAATAAAACAACATACACCTTTTAGTCCTGTCCATTTAAATTAGTCACACACGGTAAATAATTTTCCTGTAAAATAACAGTAAAGAGCTGGCAGCAGGGACGCCAGCAATATACCGTTTTTTTACGGTATTCATCCGTAAAATGATTTTACAGTAGTAGACTGTAAACAAGAAATACGGTAATATTAGAACTTCATTATTCTCAGGGCTATAGACAATTGCTAAAGATTTTTTGTGAATATTGTGCAAAATAAGCAATAAAAACTTAGAGAGAATCAAAATCAATTACTTCAAAAGGCAATATCAACATGAATACTGAATACTGCTACTTTCAAAAAATGGAAAAAAGAAAATAAGAAGAGATTTCAAGTTGCAAACAGAAACAGCCTAGTAGTGTCTGCTTTAGACTATGGCGATAAACTCAAATTCTTAAATTGCTTGTCAGAGCATAACCTGCTTGTCAGGGCATGACCTATAGCTGACTTTTTGGGCCAATGTCCATATTATTTAACACTGTCTTTAACACATAAGTTTGAACACTTCAATAACACAATGGGTCTAAGAAAAAGACCAACGCAACAAATACAGAGGAAATAAGAGTTTAACCTATCCTGTGAGGTTTGCTTATGTTCTTGCAAAAACCCATTTAAAATACAATCTCAGAACAGTAAGAGAATTTTGAAACACATAAAACTACTTAAAATAGTCCCATGAGTTAGATTCAAATTTCCTCAAAACTCAATTTAAAAGATTTACATTATGTAATCTGCAATGTATTTTCTGCTGTCTGTGAAAATGCAGAACATGCAGAATTAACAACATTTGGAAAACAAATGTAAGAACATTTTGAAAAAGTGCATTAAGACCATTTCGAAAGTATTACAGTACAGTTAGAACCTTTTGACAATATGCATCAATAATATGGATCAAAAACATTTAGGGAAGAAACTGTAATAGGCACCTGTGCCAATGCAAGCTTGCGACTTGCAGTTTACTTCTTAAAATAGTCCTGTGAGGTAGGTTTGTGTTTTTACGTCTTGAAATAGTCTGTGAGGTAAGTTTGTGGCCCTGATTCAAATCTTGTGGATCCAGGAGAGATGACCATCAGTTTGTTAGCCGCTGTTCCTCTGTAGCATTATTCCAGTGTTACCACTGTCAAACAATAACAAACAAATATTATACAATCAGGAATGTACAATATACCCTCCAAGCTAATGCTTATAAAGTTAATAATACCAGTTCTCTTGTGGCTTAATGTGGCAATGCCAGACTGTCAAAACAACACATGGACAAACCAAACTAGTTTAATTCAGTTAGCTCATTGTAAAACACAATTCATTAAAAGTCGACACAAACAAAATAAAACTCACCAAAACTATCTCTGGGTGATGTTCCAAAAATCCTATGGTTTGGTTGAAATAAATCGTTAACCACCGGGCAAGACATAATTATTCCAGTAGCCTAATGCTATTTTCCATCTGCCGATGTTGGCCTCTCGTTAACCGGTGCTGCTCCTCGGATGCAGACCAAGATTAAACAACAACAACAAATAACAAAGTCCTAATATTGTTTCGACTAGCCTATTCAAATCTAAGCATCACTGATACATATATAACGAGACAAACTCATGTTATATCAAACATTCTTGGCAATATCAATAGGATAGCCCACCCACCGGCAAAGAAAATAAGATTTGAATTAACTTACTGTTTAATTTTGTAGATGCAAGACTGGACTGATGGTGATGGTCTGTGATATGTAGCACATGTGTTTTGTACATCCTGCTGTCCTCTTCTGGAAAATACTGTAGTGTCCTGTAATTTAAAACAGTAGCATACTGTTTACGGCCTCTGCCCTGTTGCTCCAAGTTAAGAAGCCCACAATGCATTGCTAACTACAGTACACTACACTGTTGAACACGAAAACAGTATTTTAGTGTTGAAATTTGGCTGTAAATTTACAGCAATTGCTTACAGTGCAGGTATGGCAATATTCCACAAGCTGAACTTTGCATGACGAATTTGTCAAGCTTTGCATGACGAATTCAGCCAACAAGATTCTGATCTATCCTTCACAAACCTATATCTCACAGCTGCATCCATTTCCATTTTCTGACACACACCAGGTGAACGACCTTGTGTGTCCTCTTACGTGTGACTTCATACAGTAAATGAGCCAGTTCAGCATCAACATTAACAGGCTTTTCTCTGTAGCAAACATTATGTGGTTTGTTGTTACAAATTTGAAACAATAAAAAAAAAATAAAAAAAAAAAAAAAAAAATAAGAGCAATAAAATAAAATAAAATAAAATAAGTAAAATAAATAACAGAAATAAATAAAAAGCACTGCCCACACAAGATAAAAATATGCATGTATACACATAGAATCAACGCTCTACATGGTATCAAAAGCCGAAAGCAAAGCAAGTGTGGGGGGGCGGTGGGGGGGCTGGGATGACATCCCAATTAACATGCGCGCCAGTGCCTCCTCATGCTTGCTGAGTTGACAAATTTGAGAAAGACTAAAACTTAGGACATTTCCTGGCTGCTGTGTGGTCAATAGACATGATCCAACTTGCACTGAGTAGATATTTATGCAAATGTTCCTCCTATGGCCACTCTGGCATGGGCGTTTGTAGTCTGCAGAAATACCCATGAAAAGAAAGAAACAGTGGGGAGAGAAAGCTGTCACTCATATTGCAGGGGTGGTCACAGACACAGAAAAAAATGATTTGCATACCTGCGGAAAGTATTTTAAATAGGGGTTCTATATGGAGCTAATATCGTTATTATTATTAACTTTATTTACACAAACAGTAAACAGTAGCCTATATATAAGGGACAGACAGAAATCATAAATTAGTTAAAGTTTGGATTGATTTTTTTATATTTTTACAGTATGGGAGTAAAGTAGTGTTTGATTTCACTTTCAAAATTTTAAAAAAGCTGGTTTATAATTGGAAAATTAAGATTTGTGGATGTGTAATTTTGCAAGCAGGAGGATCAAACTGATGTTATAGATTTATTTTGGTAGAGGGGGTACATTTTCATATAAAAAGGGTCAAATCAGAAACAATACACTGGGAAATAAAAGCACAAATATCTTTAGGGAATGGGGCCAAAAAAAAAAAAAAAAAAAAACAGAGATCAAACTTCAGCTGACATCCCGACGTCACCACGCACACTTATTAGGAACACCTGGCGTGTGCATGCATCAGGGGCGGGACACGGCAGCTTTCCACACAAAGTTTTACAAACAAAAGTAAAATATCATCATGCAGGATCTGGCCAGCCGGTCAAACCCGTTAATCGAGCAACCTCATCCGTGTACTACCGTTTCCGTGTGAGGGATCTATTCAGGGGGTTCAGTCGGTTAACTGTGTTATCAGTATGAGAGCTGTGTCGTTAAAGCGGCCGCTCCTCATTTTTGGGGGGATTGGGCTCCTCTTGTACATTGGCATGTTTCTAAAGAGTGGGTATGATGAGCGCACGGCGGGGGCTGACACCGTGGACGCGCCGCGGATGGTCAGGAGCTTCTCTGACCTGGAGGAAAGCATCAGCAATCTCCGTGAGTTGAGGCAAATTTGACTCTTTCTCCTCTGTTCAATGTGCACTCTGCTTCTGCTCGTCGGGAAAGAAAATTTGGTTGAATTTTAATTTAGCAGTCATTTTTCTTTTGTTGTTGTTTTGTTTTTTAGAAAGGTAAGTGGAAGTTTTGTCAGTTCCTCAAAGGTTGATATGTTGACAAATGAAGAGAATATCAGCGTGTGTCACCAGTGTATTGGTTGGAGAAAGAATAAAGTTTATATAATGAGATTTAAAAAAAAGTCATATTTTTAAATGAAACTTTTTTTTACTACTTCATATTCTCTCATAGTCTGTTGTGCTGCTGTAACACCTCATTTCCCCCTGGGGATCAATACAATGATATCTTTATATAGGATCAATCAGGAGAACATTCAACTCAAAGCTTTATTTTGATTTAGAAAACAATTCCTTGATGTTTTGGGGTTTTTTTATCAAAAAATGATCATGTCTCCGGCTCATGCTCCTCTCTCCCTGTCCTCTTTGATCTCTCAAAGACAAAGTGCTCAGAGCTTTCGAGCAAAAGCAGGATATCATGCAGAAACTGCTCGAAGAAGACAGAGGCATACGGAAAAAAGCCGCAGAGGTCGAACAGGAACCAGTCAAAAAGCAGCCGGAGCCGAAAGAGCAACCTGAAGCAAAGATCCAGGAACCAAAGGAGGCCCCCAAAGAGAAAAAGACCAACAAAGTGTTCCCCTCCTCTGCTCTGTTCAAGGAGTGGGGAGAGAATCTTTCTGAGGTCGACCAAAGAGAGGCAGAGGGGATGTTTCAAAAGTATGGATACAACGTTTTTCTCAGCGATCGTCTCCCTCTGGATCGAGCTCTTCCAGATACAAGAGATTCAAGGTACTGCTTTCATTTAAAATGTAAAAATTTCATTACACTTGATACGCAGAGACAGGTTAAACCAAAAACTGTGACTTATAGACTCCACCCTGTTCATTGTTTGCCAATTATCCTTCATATTTTTCTTCAGTTCGGTTTGTCCAGAGCATTTAAAAGTTTACTGGTGCAAAAGATAGTGGTTTTAGTTACACAAATCCTTCTGTTTCTCAATAGGTGTGCAAACAAGACTTACCCAAAGGACCTGCCAAATGTCGGAGTGGTGCTGATCTACCTGAACGAGGCCCTGTCTATCCTCAAAAGAGCCCTGCGCAGCATCATTGACCGCACCCCCAAAAACCTGCTGAAGGAGATAATAATGGTGGACGACAATAGCTCTAATGGTTGGTTGGTTAGAAAAGGATCAGATTGTGCAAACACTGCGGGGGATAAACAAAAGCTCATCTTGTATTTAAACAGTGCACAGGTGTGTTTTTTTTGGAGGGATAGATGAGCTGATATGTTTCATTGTTCAGGTGCCAGTGCTACTTGTGTTTGTTTGAACGTCTCACAACACAAAGAAACCACTGCCATCACAGTACTTGGCATTTTGTTCTGTGATTTTAATAGTACACTGGTTAAGTTGGCATACCACAAACTGGAATGGACGACTTTGATTATCGTGAAGTCTGTACACACGAGGAACCTGCTAGTCGTCATTTTACACTCCTGCAATTGTATGTGATTGACAGAGGAGATATATATGATTTATTAATGAGCTTTAGGTGCTAGCAGGTGGATTTTGTTGAGCCGGACTAGCTGTCTCCACATGTTTCCAGTATTTATGCCTAGCTAATCTATCCAGGTGCTGGTTGTAGCGTTATATTTACCACACAAAGAGGATGGTGGTATCAATCTTCAAACTATTCCACACAGCGCATACAATGTAAAACAATGGTCACTCACTTCAAGGCTGTAAATAGTGCAATAGATGTTTTTCTACCCTAACGTTCACACATGGGTGAACAAAACATTAGAAACCCCTTTTAGTGCTCAATCAGTACCTCTTCTTCTGTAAATTTAACCAGCTCTGTTTTGCATTCTGGGTAATCGGTGTGGAAACTGGTATCACTGCCCAGTCTAACCTTGCTCGTAAGAAAAAATATTTCCGTCAAGCCTGATCTCCCCTTGTATAAAGAAATATATGCCCACATTGTCTTTTCAATTCAGAGGACCTGAAGGAGGACCTTGACAATTACGTGAAGTCACTCGAGAAGCAGAACCCGGGTCTCCGTATTACAAGAGTGAGGCACACTGAGCAGAAAGGCCTCGCTCACGCCAGGGCTTCTGGGTGGAGGGCTGCCACTGCAGACGTGGTGGCCATCCTGGATGCACACATCGAGGTCCATGAGATGTGGTAAGAAAAATCCTTTTATACACTGATTTATGTATAACATTTTAAGTGGTTTACGTGTAATATTTGATTGCACATGATATGTCTAAGTAGTCGTGTCTTCTTAAACAACCTTTTGAAAGTTTAATGCTTACCACGAACACTGACAGCACTGCAATGTTTAGTATATCTGCACTGTTAGGGAAGTATCCACACCACCACCAAGCACAAACTTACTCCAGGGATGCCAAAAATATCCTGCTTCACATTTGGGCTTTTGTTAAATCCATCAACAAGTCAAACAAACAGGCTTGGTAAGTCTAATCAAAGCAAGCAAACTGACTACTACTATTAAAGAAATTACTGGCACTGACACATGCCAGCCCCACGTACTGCTCAACTAGAATTCTCCGTTACTGGTAATACCATATGCTGGGAATTATTCAATAGAAAGAACAAAAACACCACCGTGTAGCTCTTTAAATGAAGGAAGTTTAATACAGTGACGTGTGCCTAATGTGTGAACTGCCTTTCCTCCCTTCCCCTCACGCAGGGCTGAACCCTTGCTGACACAGATCAAAGGTGACCGAACAGTGGTGGTGTCCCCTGTGTTCGACAGAGTCAACTTTGATGACCTCAAGGTTATTCAGTACCTTCCAGCAGCACACGCCTTCGACTGGGCTTTGTGGTGCATGTATGAAGGTTTTACGCCTGAGTATTACAAACTCAATGACGGCTCATTGCCTGGAAAGTAAGTGAAATCAGTCAGTTTTATTTATGGTAATGCTGATCCTACTCTGTACAACATGTTTAAAATGACCCAGTAGTAACAGTTCCCTTCTTCCACCTCAGGAGTCCATCCGTTATGGGGATCTTTGTCGCCGACAGGACGTTTCTTGGAGAAATTGGAGTCCTTGATGAAGGAATGAAAGTGTACGGCGGAGAAAATGTTGAGCTGGGAATTCGTGTGAGTAAGCCTCGCCTATCCAACATCCAATCTTAAACCTGAAGTAGCAATCCCAGGCCAACTTGCAAGTGAGAAAAAAATACATTACCCCTCTCACTTTGGACCGGTTTACCTCAGACAGAGGATAAAAGTTGTAAAATCCTGTCTCAAAGTATTATACATAGACGTGCAGTGTTTGCAGTCTGATAAGCCTGGAAACCCATGGATTACTCAAAAGGATTGCATTTCGTCTCTTTACCGGTGCCTGAAGCAGCATGTTGCCTAACGCACACACTGTTGCCTAACCAAAACAAAGTAATATGTCTGCTAATGACATGCTAACATACTTACATACCCTATAGTCTTGTATATTGTAGTCTGAGCTATCCTTCGTCAGCATTCTTGCTGATAGATCGATGAGAAGAGACCTGGCTCTGTCCAAACACGGCTAAATCCGCCTGCCAACACCTGTGAAGATAACTTATTTAACATGTTATATCTAGTTTGTTTAAATTGTACAGAAATCTGATATAAGTATAAAAATAAGGTGGTTTTACAGAGGTTTACTTGCTTAGCTAAGAGCAGTGACTTCCTTGGAGTCTCCACTTGTAGTATGGCAAATTTGATTGCAACTATTTACCTTATAAGGCAACTTATGGGACAAGATTGGGCCCTAAAAACAATGTGCTGAATACAAGGTGATGGCACTGCCCACAGACAGTAAACATCTAAGAAGCTCTGAGTCACTGTTAACTTTTGTTTTTACTAAAGCTTTGCACTCACACAATCATCTTTTGGTGACCGATAGGTGTGGACGTGTGGAGGCAGTGTTGAAGTGGTTCCATGCTCCAAGGTCGCCCACATCGAGAGGTACCACAAGCCCTACCTGCCTGACCTCAGCCCCGCCATGAAGAGAAACGCCCTGAGGGTAGCAGAAGTCTGGATGGACGAATACAAACACAACATCAACTTAGCTTGGAACATACCATTTGAGGTACTTCAGATGCAGTCAGGAAGAACAAAAATGAGGCTTACTTATATTTTTGTATTGCACTACATGTTTGTCTGAATCAACCACTATAGTTTTGTATTTTTTATAGTTTTTATTTGGTTTTTAAGTTCCAGAGTGGGTTTATTTACTATAATTGCTTAACAATTTTGTTTTTGTATCGTGCTTCAGTATTAGTTTTAGGGTGGAAAACGAGATTTAAGAAGTGCAGAATATATTATTAGGATACTCTCAGTAGTGTAGACATCCCAGACTCAAATATTTGCACCAATGTGTGTTAAAGCTTGTGTTGACCAAATTGACAAAGATTTAAACTAAAGACATTTCCTGTATATGATTTTATTTCAGTTAGCTCCATAAGTACACACTATCGTTTCTGTTTTCATATTTTCAAAGTTTAGTTTTTATTTTTACTTCAGTAAGTTTGAGTTAACTATAATGACCTTGGTCTGAATGTTGCATCATTCATTCTTTCTGTTTTGCACCGGGGACCAGGAGAAACGTTCCTCTACGTGCTGTACTGCACTGTATACGGATGGATGACAATAAAGTCTCTAATCTTATAGCATGCTTCTACATGCAGAATGAACATTCAACAGTTCCCAGTTAAAAGATTCTCCCATATTTAGGAATGAGTGAATTTTTTACTGTCTCGTAGCATAAAGTGAAGTTGTTTGAATTTCTTCACTTAGAATATCACAATCATCTCATATTCATTGCCTCTGCAGAACCACGGCATTGACATCGGGGATATCACTGAGAGGAAAAAACTCAGAGAGAGGCTGAACTGTAAACCTTTCAAATGGTACCTGGATAACGTGTATCCCAAGCTGGATCCCTGGGACAACCTACTTGGCTTTGGAGGAGTAAGTTTTGTTTTCTCTGATGCTTTATTTGTGGTAGAGGAAGTAATGCAGGGTGTGTCTCACTCCTACATACCTGCCATGTAGTGGTTTAGTAATGCTCACTGGCTTTGAATCAAATCAATAATATCCCCCTCTGACAGATGAAGAATCTTGATGCCGACATGTGCATAGACCAAGGCCCGGTGCCAGGTCACACACCCATCGCCTATGGCTGCTATTACTATGGACCTCAAGTAAGTAAATGCAGAAATTAGAGATGATAGTCTCTGGAAAGTTAGACGTGGTAACTGGAAATGTTTGTCTTATTGTGCCCATTGTGTTTACTGAAGCTTTTTTTTTTTATTTTTTTTAGTATACTTATTATCGTGAAAATGGCGAGCTCTACATCGGCGGCATCAAGTCCCACAAGTACAATGACAACCGGTGTCTAACTGACGTTGGCCAAAAAGAATCTGTGCCTGGGCTATACAACTGCAAAGAAGCCATGCAGAAGGGAATGGGGATTTACTGGGACTTCACTCAGGTATTACAACACGTTGAAATTACAGGGTGGATACATTTAGGGTGACTCCTATAGCTTAAAATATTGACTGTGGTTGTCTGAATATTAAATGATGACATACTGTGAATGAGCACTGACACTTATTCTCTTTTCTAGGGCAAAGAGCTGAAGAACAAACAGACAAAAAGATGTCTGGAGATTATAAAAAGCACACTTCTAATACAAGAATGCACTGGCCAAAGATGGGAAATCCAAAACATAATCAAAGCCTTTTAAAGTGTGTGCGTGGCCAACAAGAAATGCACTTCTCAGCTCGTAGGTCAGTGGATAATAACACCTGAATGTGTGAAATGTAAAAGAAAGTCAATGAAATTTGACTGCCGATCTGACTTCTGTAATTATTGAAATATATCTGGGATGTAAAAAGTTGTTTATAGATCTTGTGAAATGTATTGACTCTTCCCTATAAAAACATCTTATGAATGGACATTTCATATAAGTAATTCTTATTTTTACTATTTATTCATCTTCCTTCTTTGTGCATCAGCTGTTTAGGCCAGGTTATTTTGATTAACGTTAAAGGACCAGTGTGTGAGACTTAGTGGCATCTAGCAGTGACGCTGCAGATAAACCGAGCACCACTTGTGACTATCTACAGCCAGTGTTTGTCCATTCTGGGCTACTGTAGAAATATGTCGGTTCAACATGCCAGACTCCACGAAAGGCAACACGCGGCGGCTGTAGATAAAAAAGGCTCATTCTGAGGTAACAAAAACACAACGATTCCTTTATTCAAGTGATTTAAACACTAAAGAAAACATACCTATGAATATTATATTCCATTTGCCGATAGATCCTCCTAAATGTAACAAACTGGACCTTTTAACTATACTAACCTGAAGTGTGGGAATTGCTCAAGTGGACTTCCAATTTCCAATTTACAAGAGAACAATTGAGCAAATTTCATATTATTTGGTTCTATTTCTTTCATGTTTTAAGGTCCAAATGTATAACTGATTAAATTCTTCTGACTGTCGTATCCACTGTGCTGATCAGATTAAATGCATTAAAGGGAAGCTGTCAAGGTTATTTGATCGTCTAACACTTTGGGAATAACAATCAGATCAGTGGATTTTACTAAAACCAGGAGTCTGCTTCTCTTACATCATTTAATGAATCCATTCTCTCACAAGCGTTTATCCTGCAAACTCGGTTGGTCTGACTTGTCAGGCTTTGTTTCCTTTGATACAAACTGACAACAAACAAAAAGAAGTTTAGTGGAGTTAATGCTGTAATGAGCATTAACTCTGGTTGGTAATATGCAAGCTGTTTGCCTTTATGTGTATATTTATAGGTATTGTATGGAAGAGAGCATTACTGACACAGCATTTGACCTCAGGCTGCTTATAAAGGACATAACCCACTACCTCTACTCAGACACTAATGCACATGTTTGGATTTTCCTCACGTTAAAACCTGGGGCTTAACAAAAGTTACGTGTTTAAGCTATGCCTTGCTTAAATTAGGTCTTGGCTGTACTGAATTTGAAGAAAAACAATAACTAATATTTTACTGTGCATCATCAAAAAACATCACGAAAGTGGCCTCCACCCAGAGAAAGGTGGTAAGGTAAAGGTGAAGGATGAGTGAATGAAGTAAATACAAATGAAGGTATAGAAACAGTGGCTTAAGAAAACAATGAGTTGATAGATGAGTAAATGACAGGATGAGTGCAGGTCACACAGAACTTGATAATCAGGTCACCTTCTACAAAGACTTCCTTTAAGAACGACAGTTTCCACAGGTTTAAATCTGTACTGTTAAAACAACCCACAATTGTACTTGAGGCAGGGCGGTGTCTTCTGTTTGGACAGTTATTACTGGCTGGGTGTTTTACCTGTGTCCTAGTATCCGTGGCAAACATAGGTCCCCTTTATGCAGAATGGTTGTAGGTACTGAGTTCATTTTTATATAAAGGATCTTGGTGTTTTCTAAAGGCTTGTTGAACTATAGAATCATTTATACATTTTTTTTGTGTGGTGTCAAGGAAAGGGACAGCCATATTTGGGATTTGGTTCATAGATTTACAGACAATGGGGGGATTGGTAGTTAGGAGTGTTTTTACTTACAGCATACCTCAGGATAATATATGTTTTGTTGAGACCAAGGCCTGTGTTTGAAATATTTTCATATATTGAATTTTTAATATATATATGTGGATTTGGAAATAAAATTGATTTGTAAAAGTGATTGATGTTTGAATCATCATTATTATTATTGAAAAATGTGAGGTTCACACCCAACATCTAAAAAGGAGTGTGTGTGTGTGTGTGTGTGTGTGTGTGTGTGTGTGTGTGTGTGTGTGTGTGTGTGTGTGTGTGTGTGTGTGTGTGTGTGTGTGTGTGTGTGTGTGTGTGTGTGTGTGTGTGTGTGTGTGTGTGTGTGTGGCTGTGTGTGTGTGTGGCTGTGTGTGTGTGTGTGGCTGTGTTTGTTTGGTCATTCTTTGCATTTGATGAGAGTAATGTAGCTCAGTTGTGTGCTCAAAGGGTTTGTTTTTATTATTATTTTATTACTTAATTGTATATTTAATTACATATCTAAACGAACTGGTATTCATTATTTGTATCAATATATTGCTAAATGAATACAAAATAATACTTAAAAAAAAAAAGTCGCCTCAAGCGTTCGTGGTGGCCAGGGCCGGGAAAAGCCGACATCCTACGAACTCTAACGAACTCTGGTTTCCTAGCAACCAGTGTGTACTCGTCGTTGTCAGGACGGTTCAGGTGTCCGTTTCAGGTTTAACGCCACAAACTTAACCAACATAAAGTCAAAATGTTTAACGTTACGTTGCCGTCAGACAGCAGAAGTCTACGGGCCAACAGAGAGACTGAGAGACGGGAGCGGATCTTTAATGACAAAGTCAGGACGATCGGGGTAAGCCAACGTTATGCTGTTTGTCTGTAGCTGGCAGAGGAATGCTAACCTTAACTGCAGTGGTAAAGTATTCAGGTTCCTTTAAGTAACGTTAGGCCCAAGTAATGGTAAGCCAAAATAGTGACATTTATAACAAAGCATCACATTTTATAAGCTCTTTGTATGATCTGTATGCAAAAATCTTCATTTGTACAGTAACAGGGACTAAAAAGTACAATCATTCCTCTGAAGTTACTTAAAGCTGCAGTATAAAAATAAAAAATGTCATATTTGATAGAGGCTTCATATCCTGACTGTAGCACATGAGACAGATAAGACCAAAAACCAGGTTCCTCTGCCTCCTCCTGGTCCTCTGAATGGCATTTGCAGGAATCCGCCGGGCCTGAATGAAAACAACCAATCAGAGCTGAGAGAGATGGTTGCTTGTTGGGTCTCGTACCCAGCGTTGGTATCAGTTCAGGATGTAGTGTCAAGACGCAGTGGAAAGTTTCAGCCAATATGACCAAAAAGTTACATTTAAAGAAGTTACCCAGTGCAGCTTTAGGTACAGTACTTGAGTTAATGCCACTGTCTAATTGTGCTGGTCTGTTTTTATAGGTTGACAAGGAAGCCCTGGACATGCAGATTAAAGAAAAGCAAAAACAAAAAGAGGCTGCAAAAGAGGAGCAAAATACTTCTGGTGAGTTGGTTAAAACATCCTAGTATTGCCTGACTTTAATAACTTCCCATCACTCACTGAACACAGAATTAAATCATGTGTTGCCACTATGTCGTATATATTATGATACATCATTCATAATGAAGCACATTGTGATGTCTGTGCGTGGGGTGTGTGCTCCATCTAGATGCTGATATGCTCCACAATAGCAAATTAGCCCGCCTTCTCCATAGCAGACAAGTAAAGGAGAAGCATGGGATGGAAAGGGCCATCGTCAACTACCGGCATCAGTACCAGCAGCCTTGGAGCCAGCGGGAGTATGACCTTAACGACCCAGACCGCTGTAGAAAAATGGAGCCAGGTGATGCGCAGATGATGCCCCCGGGCCTGGTGGGCGAGGACCCGGGCAGTGAAAGCAGAAGGCAGAGACAGAGGGAGCAGCTCAGAGAGTGGCTCAACCAGCAGCAGAGTGAGCAAGCAGCAGAAAGGCATCAACAAAAGCTGGAAGGTAGATCTTATACAGGATACACATGCTATGTTCACACACAAAAACACAAGCTCAGTTCATGTTCTCTACTTCTTCAGGGCAGCAGTATGACCAGAGCAGGGTAGAAATGGACAACACAGCACTGCAGCTTCAGTGCCTTGAGATGGAGAGAAGAAAAGCAGCAGCTGTTGCCACTAAAGAGTACAATCTGGCCATGGTAAGTCATTCTGGTATGCCCTCAGACTGGCTTTTAAAACGGGTTTCGTCTCTAACTTAAAAACATTTTAATCTTATTTTAATACCTAGGACAAACACCTAGCCATCAACTCTCTTTTGTCAGAATGAGAGGAGTGTTAAGGCAACATACACTGAGATGCATATTTAAACTAGGTGTGCCAAAGAACACAAAAGCACAAAAAAGAAAAGAGGTATTTGGTAGTCTTAAACACACCACACACATTTGACTTGATGTATGAATAGTAGAGTTAGATGTGACCTGGGTTGTATCAGGCTTTGATTAAAGCACCACTAGGATTTAGTTACAGCTCAGCCTTTTAAGACCTTTTCAAGAGATATTTTGATTCAATTTGAGACATTGAAATGGAGTTGTTCAGTTGCAGTAAAAATACTTTGTGTCACCACCACCTTTTTTGCTGCATCTGGATGGGCAAAGATTGAAGAGAAGCAAGGGCAGCTGGCAAGTGCAGATGCTGAACCCATCCTAAGCACAGAGGCAGCTCCTGGTCTTTGCACGGATAGAAGACCCCCTCCGGAGAGCCCGCAGCAGGTCGTCCAGTTCCAGAAATATCAAATAGAAGAGAGAAAGGTAAAACGGGAACAAATGACACTTTTTAAAAGCACTCTATAGCAAGCTGTTCAGTGACCGTGTGTCTGTCTGTTATCTGTAGAGGATGGAACTTGAGAAAAAGCAAGAGGAGCAGCAACACGATCATGTCCGCTTGGACTCGGCTCGCACAGCTCTGTTAATAGAGAGACAGCAGGCAAGACTGAACAAGCAGCTGAGACGACACCTGGACAGCACCAACGTCGCACTGGCCCAGACACACAAACAACAGTCAGTAACATTAAGAAAACTGATTGTCTACACTACACACAGCATATTCAAGCATCATCTCACTCTGTTTCTAAACTGGTGTTGTTTTAAAGGAGACCGGACATTGAAAGAGGATGCATCGATGACAGCTTCTTCTCCAAATTCAACACCTGCAGCAGATGATGGATGAGGACTGGCTCATTACAGTGGATAGCTACTGATAGTGGTGCTACATGAGAAGAACATTAAAAATAAACTGAACCACGCAGTAAAGCAACAGTCGTATTTGTTTTATTTTATTTTGGCAGTTCACAACATTTAATATTTAATACGTCTGGATGGCACGGACGGTTGTTCGAATTCGGGTTGCAGAATTAATCAAAATATTATATGTGAAATATACAAATAGCAGAAGCTGCAGTTTTATGATAAAGGTAAAATGTGTGACAGTAATTATAGTGAAGTACTGAATCATATCACAATCTGTCAAAATAATCGCATTAGGATGTTTTTACCATATCGTGCAGCCCTAGTTCATATGTATCTTACCCACTGCTTCGAAAAAAAGACTTTTGTTTCTGATAAAATGTGTCTTTGTGAGCAAAGGTCAACTATGACCTTTTTATAAATCCATTACAGCTAAAAATCTAAAAACACAAGATTTTAACAAGATACCTGTTAAACTCTTACAAAGCATGAGCAAGCCACAAACACCACAAAGAGAATTCAAACATCCTTTAGCACCTCAGCCAGTTAACAGTGCTGTCCGGCACCGTTAATGTCCCTCAAACCATAGGCAAACCTTAAAGTGCACTTACATTCAAAATCCTTAAAAATGATAGACATAACAAGGCGGATTGAAGCCAGTTCATTTGTGTAGTTCAAGTAATCACCCTAAATTTTATAGGATGTAGCTCAGGCCTGTCTCACAGTGGCCAGTTAACACACTGTACACAGCCACTGTAACTCCATATTATGGCAACATGGAGCTACATGCCTTTTTCACAGCAACTTGTCGTAACAAGAAAGACATCGCATTCCCATTTACAGTTTGCCTTTCTCAAAAGGAAGCATGACACATTTGATGAAAGCCCTACAGACAATGAAAATTTTTAATTGAAAAATGAGTTTCTCTCTAAGGAGCATTTTCAGAGACAAACGTATCCCATTTTCTCTGCCACAGAGCCAGCACTTCCTCCTGCTGCTTCGGAGTGAAAGAACTATACCTGAAAGACAGACAGGGAAATGTCAGTGAGCGGTCCGCTGAAGCATTTGAGGACTCGTGCACAATTCAATTGTGTAATTTCTAAGTTACATCTCTTGTCATTTCAGCTGAACCTCACCTAATAGAGTTTATGGCCAGCTGTTTGATGGTGCCTATATTGGATTTAATCCCACCAAAGCCCACAAAAGCTTCATAGAAGTCATAAGAGAGTCCAGAGGCACCGAACATGCCGGGGTCATCAGAACTGATGACCAATGGGTGATTCTCTGCCAACAGTGCAGCTGCCGGATGGTTTCGCAAATCTTTTACTAGCTTCATCACCTGAATGAGGATAGGAGATTAAATTAAACAAGTTACACTTTAGTCGCTGGTAAATGTACATGTTTTTATTGTGCAGTGTGGTTAACAGGATGATAGTGTACCTGGTTGGAGATGGGGCACACTTCCATAGCCACCCCTCTCTTCCTGGATAAACCTTTGGCCACTGGGTGACGAACCAGAGCAAACCCATGGCCGATACGTGAAGTGTTCAGCAAAAGAGCATCCAACATGTTCTGGTCCACCTCTGTGCCCTCGAGATCTTCATGTAGTGCAGAGAAATGTTATTTTGTGCGTGATAAATAACATAATTTAAACATTAAAACTGATTTTGTCCTTCCCTAAGAAGACTATAAACAAACTCAGCTATCTCTGATGGTATATCTAATAGCTCCCCCTTGTGGCTGCCTACCTAAAACACACAACATTCCTATTGTAGCCTGTTTGTGCTGAGAATGAGTTCCATATTTATTAACATGCTATTGTTGCACTTAAAATCTTTGGCCTGAACATCCAGACAGCTACTTATTCACACACATTCACACACACACACACACACACACACACACAC